CCCCCAAAAAATTGGGTGGGCTGGTGGGTGGAGAGCTGCACCCTGGGTGGGGCTGGGGGTCCCCAGTGTCACCCTTAGCGTAGGTGGCACTGGGGGCGCCGTCGAGCCCTGAGAGCTGACTGGTGACGTGCGGCCTGGCCCTGTCAGACACCACCATGTCCCCCGGGTGGACATCGGTGTGTCCCCTGGAGGGTCACCACTGCGTCCCTTGGGTGGTGGTCCCTGGAGGGTCACCGCCATGTCCCCTGGGTGGACACCAGTGTGTTCCCTGGAGGGACACCCGTGTATCTTCTGGACGGACACCACGATGTCCCCTGGATGGACACCGGTGTGCCCCCAGATGGTGATCCCTGGATGGCCACCGCCACGTCCCCTGGGTGGACACCGGTGTGTCCCCTGGACACAGGACACAGCCATGTCCCCAGCCAAGGGACACCCCAACCAGATGCTCCACGTCCCCTGCATGAGGGGACCCCAGGAGGACACTACCACGGCCCAGGCCAAGGGGTTCCCAAGCTTGGCAGATGCTCCATGTCCCCAAGACCCCAAGGGGACGCTGCCACCGCCCCAGTTGCTCGTGGGACCAGGCAAATCCCCTTTTCCACCACCTGCCTTCCCTCGCAGAGTGCCCGGCCATCGTGCCCCGGTGCATGTGGGGGGCCCGTCCCTACCGGGGCACCCCCAGACCGTTGACCCTCCCCTTGAGCTCCGTCTACATCCACCACACCTTCATACCCAGCGCCCCGTGCCGCACCTTCGCCGCCTGCGCCCGCGCCATGCGCGCCATGCAACGCTTCCACCAGGACCCCCGTGGCTGGGATGACATCGGCTACAGGTGAGACGCCGCCACCGTCACCGTCACCTCCACCGCGGTTCCCAGCACCCGTGTCCGGGCAGCTCAGGTTGACCCATGGGTGCTCGTAGCTTCGTGGTGGGCTCGGATGGGTACCTGTACCAAGGCCGGGGTTGGCACTGGGTTGGTGCCCACACCAAAGGCTACAACAGCAAAGGCTACGGCGTGGGCTACGTTGGCAACTTCTCAGCCACCTTGCCGGACCCTGACACCATCGCCCTGGTGCGGGACGGGCTCCTGCCCTGCGCCGTGCGGACAGGCCGGCTCCACCGTAACTACACCCTCCGTGGCCACCGCCAGATGGGTCACACCGACTGCCCCGGCAACTCCCTCTTCCATGAGATTGAGACCTGGCACGGCTTCAAGGTGAGCACCGAGCCCTGTGGCATCTCCAGGGGTTGGAGGTTTGGTGCCAGGTTGGGGTGTCTGGTCGGGTCCGGCATGGCCAGGAGGG